AAAAAGGAAATTGAGCTGATTCTAGGAACCCAAGAGGAAAGCAAATTTTGGGAATGATGAGGGCAACAAATGTACAGATGTGCTTTACACAATTGATCTATGTATTGTGATGAATTGTATGAGCCCCAATAAAATGATTAAAAAGAAAAAGAAAAGATTTTCAGTCTCTGAAACTCAAAGGAGCAATTCTACTCTGTTCTAAAGGACTACTATGAGTCGGAATTGACTCCATTGCAGTAAGTAGGACTTGGGTCAGGCACACCTTAGTCCTCCAAGTGACATCCTTGCTCTTCAACACTTCAACGAGGTCTGTGCAGCAGATTGATCCAATGCATTTTCTTTTTATTGACTACTGCTTCCTTGATCATGCATTGCAGATTCAAGTAAAATAACGCCCCTGGAAACGTCAATGTTTTCATTTATCCCGATGTGTGTAGGGCAGTTGTGAGGACTTGTACTTTACATAGTGTCGCAGTCCATACTGATGGCACTGGGCTTTCATTTTCAACCTCAAGAGCTTCAGACCTTCCTTTGCTTTCATCAAGTAAGGTTGTGTCATCTGCATATCACAGGTTATTAATATGCCTTCCCAAAATCCTGACGCCTGGTTCTTCTTCTTCTTAGTTCATTTTCAGATTATTTGCTCAACATACAGATTGAGTAATTGTGGTGAAAAGATACCACCAGGCCACACATCTTTTCCTATTTTAAATCACGTGTATTCACTTGTTCTGTTCCAATGACTCTCTGTTGGTCCACGTACAAGTTCTACAGGAACACAATGAACACTTCTCTAAGTCCTGTTCTGCTCAGTGATAGCCATAGTCTAGTACGATCCACACAGGGTAATGTTTGTGCAGTCAATAAAACACAAGTAAATACATTTCTAGCATCTGCTCTCATCCAAGATCCATATGATGTCAACAATGACAGCCTGTTCTGTAGCTGGCCTGAATTCTCACAGCTCCCTGTCATTGTACTTTGGCAGCCATTTTTAAGTGATCTCCAGTAAAATTTTACTTGCAAGTGATATTAATGATATTGTTCATTAATTTTGACAATCTGTTATGTCAGCTTTTTCTGGAATGGGCATAAATTTGGATCTCTTCCAGACAGTTGGAGAGGTGAGTGTCTTCCAAATTTCTTGGCATACTTGAGTATTTCCTGAGCTGCTTCAGTTGGTTGAAATATTTCAGTTGGTATTCCATCAGTCTCTGGAGCCTTGGTTTTTGTGTATGCTTTCAGCGCGGCTTGGACTTCTTCTTTCAGTACCATTGGTTCCTGATCATATGCTACCTCTTTAAATAGTTGAATATTGGCCAATTCATTTTGGTACAATGACTTTGTGTATTCCTCCCATCTTTTGATGCGTCCAGAACCATTCTGAAGTTTGCACCTGCTGCTGTTAGGTGTTATTGGATTCATTCTGACTCACAGTGACCCTATGGACAGCCGAATGAAACACTGCCCATTCCTGTGCCATCCTCACAATTATGCCTATGCCATAGCCCATTGTTGCAGCCACTGTGTCAATCCATCTCCTTGAAGGCCTTCCTCTTTTTTGGCTGTTTCTCCACTTTACCAAGCATGATGTCCTTCTCCAGAGACTGGTCTCTTCTGACCATATGTCCAAAGTACATCAGTCCAAATCTCACCATCCTTGCCTCTAAGAAGCAACTTTTCCAAGACAGATTTGTTTGTTCTGTAGTTATCCATGGTACTTCCAACATTCACCCACCAACTTGTCTCTCATTTTGCACATAGAATCCTTCAATATTTAAACTTGAGGCTTAAACGGGTTTTTTGTTGTTGTTGTTTGTTTGTTTTCAGCTTGAAATCTATGGTGTATGTTCTACTCCATAAGCTTTCTAACTCCAGGACTTTGCACATTTCATTACAATGCTTTACTTCATCTTCTTGAGCTGCCCTTTGAAATGTTCTGTTCAGCTTTATTAGCCCATCATGTCTTCAGTTTGCTCTAACTGTTCTACATTTGAGAGGAGGTTTCTGAGTCTATATTGACATCCACTTTTACCTTTTCTTTATCTCTTGTTGCAGGGGCAGCACATTTTTTTTAATGTGGCTCTTATAACACAAGTTTCAAACTTCCATCAAATGGCCTTTCCCTATATGGGTACAGTACGATGGTGCAGAAAGATACTGGTAGGATTCACTTGTGAGTACTTGTGAACAGGACTCCCTGGAGTGCCTTCCTGCTGTGTATAAAATGAGCCTTGTGAGAAGCAGGGGGAAAGAATCTTACTACCAGTCAAGAGTGGAACATGTCCTAAGATTCTTGTGCATTGAACCTCCTGGATCCAGATGACAGCTATAGCAACAAAGCATCAGGAGAACCAGGAGGCAGAGTATGGAACAGAGTGCTGGATTTCCAAATCATAGAGTAAGTAAAGCTGAGTGCAGGAGGTTGGCTTGTGGAGTGGGGTTCCACTGGCCACTTAATTGGGGAAGTAGGAATTGCTGGCCTACGGAGATTAAGCTGAGTGCCTTCAGGTTGAAACTTATAGCAAAGTGGTATGCCCTTTAGGCATTTATGAGTAGATTTGGCAGGAAGTTGTAACATGTCCTGATAAACAACTCTGAGCATTTCTTACTGAGGCATCAAAACTTGTTAATTTACTCGATAAACCTTTTCACCGGGGTTGTCAAACTCAATTAAAACGTGGGCCATTTGGTGCAACAGGGAAGATTCACACCACC